TTAAGATTTTATTTATTTATTTGAGAGAGAGAATGAGAGACAGAGAGCACGAGAGGGAAGAGGGTCAGAGGGAGAAGCAGACCCCCAGCTGAGCAGGGAGCCCAATGCGGAACATGATCCTGGGACTCCAGGATCATGACCTGAGCCGAAGGCAGTCGCTTAACCAACTGAGCCACCCAGGCGCCCCTCTCATCTTGTATTTTGTAAGAATTTCATTTTTAATTGTTTTTGAAACCACTTTTAAAAAAACATTAAGTATACATCTAAATGAAGTCACTGAGAAGCAGAAAATGTGTCTCCGCACTTGTGCTAATCTGGTTCATGCAATGACAAAGTAAAGTGAAACCAGAATCACAGCACTCTCCATTTCCCAAATGCCAGTTTGCCTAAGAAGTATTTTCCAGGGGCAAATGCCAACAAAGCAAGGAGCACAGCAGCAGACACTCTCCCAATGGCAGGCCCAAGCTGCCCTTTTCTGAATCATGTGCAGACAGCACCCAGGGATCTGCTCTGGCTGCCACACCTTGGGGAGTAGGAGGTGGGGGTAATCCCTGGCTGCCTGACCCTAATCACATCCGGAGGCCTCGTGTTCCAATGTGTGGCTTCTCTTTTCCTAGCCTGTGCATTGTAAGAAGAATCCATCTTACCAGGAAATATCCATGATGGATTTGTCGAATAACTCATGGATGACAACCAAAGGCCGTTTCAGACACGTGAGCTGGAGGGAAAGAAGCAGGAAAGGTTAATGAAATGAATGAAAACTGCTTTCTGTCCACTCAGCTCACCAACAGTCCTAGAAGCCTTGGTCTGAGTTTTTGTTGACATATAGGGCATATTTGACTCTATTCAAACAGCAATCAGCAAGATCCCAAACTGTGGAAACCAAAACCTGCCAAAATAGGCATTTTAGTGTGGCCCCTGTCTGAAGGGCTCGCTGTGGTCTGGCAGAGGAGATGGCTTTATACATAGACAACCAGAAATGGAGAAGGGAGTTCTAGAAAGGCAGACGAAATGACCTGAGCAGACGTCTACAAGCAGGTGTAGGATGCCAAGGCCTGGGTAGAAAATGAAGCAGCAAAAGTAGCACCCAGGAGAGGAAAACAGCCTCGGAGAGAAGCCAGCACATCTTCTCTGGGCCCAAGGAGTTCTGGTATGTATTAATGCAAAGCTCGGAGTAACTGGCTACATACATCACATGGGCTCATTCTACAAAGTGTGTGCAGATAGTCCAGCAACACCAAAAACAGTTTCAGTTGCCTTGAATCCAGACCCACAGTTAACCACTATAACACTTGAGTTATTTTCTCTTGATCTCTCTTATGCAAATATTTTATTCTTTGGCACATGATTGTGCTTGCTTTTTCATCTAATACATAATAAGTACATAATTAAACACTGTAAAAACCTCTCTTTGATGACTGCACAACATTCACCACATGTATACCTGTATCTAGTCACTAAAAGGCTGGGCTGTGTGCCATCTCTACAACCCCACAGCTCACATGCTAGTGTCTGGCCACCCTGCTGACAGGTCTAGGGGCCACAGCGTAATGGGCTGGGAGGGAACACGTTCTGCATGGCTCCCATCAGGTGCTGCTTCTGTGGGGGAAGAGCTGCTGCAGCTACCCTAGTCCTGAGAATAGGGAATCTGAGCTACCTGGAATCCACAAGAAGAATCTTGCCCCTCCCCTAATTTCCACTTCCAGAAAAAAATAGCCCCGTCTATCTTCCCAAAAATGTGCCTACAGACCACTCAGAAATCTGGAGCCTGTGTTAACACCTGACCTCAGCATTATAAGAAAATGAGGACACGATCAGTGATGTTTTGGTCAAAGCACCACAAATGGAGCCCCAGGCCAGAAGGAGCCCAGGAAGAACATTCCCGGAACTGCCTATGATGGCACTAGGGTTCAGGTTCTGAAATGTCACGTGAATAAGGGCCTGAAAAAAACCCACAGTGTACACAGCAATTTCTCTGTGACAAAAAACTGTAACAAATGTAGTCAGAGGATAACCTTCAAGTCTACAACTACAAATCCATTCTGCTTATGGGGGAAATTAATAACTAGTTAGGAACAAACCACTGATTGCAAAATGCAACAACAAACATGAATCTCAACAATATTATGCCAAGTGAAAGCAACACAACTACACAACTCATCAATGTGACAGACATCACTGGAGTGGTTGCCTTGGCCAAGGGGGGTTGGGAAGTGGGGTTTTGACTGGGCAGGGACGAGGGGTTATGGCATGGTGGTTAGACTGTATGTATGCATGTCATACATGTATGACAATGCACCGGGGTGTATACTTTAGGTGAATACATTTGCTGTAGGTTATATATAGATAGAAAGGTTTTCTAAAAGGAAGCAAACACAACACACCAACTGAGGGTATTCCCTGAGTCTGGACACACAGCTGCTCTGACTGGGGCTCAGGGTGGCCTCTCCAAGCTGGGCCCAAGCCCATTCTTCAGTCCTTCCCTCTTCCTGGGGTAACGAGGGGGCCTGATCCCAGGTGTAGGGCGGAAGGACACACTGAGCACCACTAGAAGTGTAGGGGAGGTCTCTCCCCTTCCAGGCCTCTGGGCTCCGCCTCCTTCACCAGCTCCGTTTCCTTCCCCCTGCAGGAGCCACAAAAGCTCTTGGTAGGGGGTTGGGGGGAGGGAGTGGGGGCTCACCCAGACAGAGAGAGAACGGTCCTTGCTGCCAACAGCACAGCAGCAATATGGGCAGCTGGGCTTTGCAGAACTCCCATTCTTCTGCTTCTTTTTGAAGATTTTTGGGTTGAATTTCTAAAACCAAATAACAATGTTAAAATAATTAATCAAGCATCAAACATATACCCTATGCCAAGTATTAGAAATATACCACAATGCCAGCCTTGTCTGCAGGAAACCCACAATGACATATCCTCCGAGCCCCAGGCACTCGTCATGCTTTACTTCATCTTTATAACTACCCAGGAGGCATTTTGCTGAGGTTGAAACAGAGTCTCGGGGAGGCCAGGAAATGTGGGCCAAGTCACCCAATGAGTAAGTGGTGGGACAAGGATTTGAAGTTGGCTCTACCAACTCTCCATTTCTGGGCCTGCAGCCAGGTTGATGGCATGGGAGCTACTGAAACTGGCTCTCTGAATTCCTCCTGGCCTGAGCAAGGCCAGTTCCAGGACCTGGCTTTAGGGACAAAGTCTTGACAGAGGTCAATGGGATTGTCAGATATCCACTCCAATAATCCCTTCCCCTTCACTGTAGTTGTTGCTCAGAGTCAAAACTGTCTAGTATGTACTGATCAGCCCTGAATAATCTCACTTGGCCAGGGACGATGGCTAAGTCACGCTAAAGTCTGCACTGGGGGCTATCCTCGGTGTAACCTGGGTGCTGCTTTTGGTAAGGTTGGAAGCACACAAAGAGCTCCTGCCACATTCCTGAATTGAAAGGGATGGGTACTCTAGACTCAGAGCTGGAATCCCCAAGCCAGGACAGTTGAGAAGGAAGGGTGGCTCCCTGGAGCCTGATATCAGCAGGCCTGGCCCACAGGGGTTTTAATTCCTGAGGGCAGGCAGAAATGGCTAGTGGTGCACAAAGACCAGGCAACACAGAACCTGGAGGTGTGCACCCTGGGTTTGAGTCTCACCCTGAGTTGGCTGAGAGGCCTCAGTACCACGGTCTCACAGAGACACTCTTACAGTGCCCATGAGGACCACCTGACAGTCATGTGGAAGCCCTGTGCTACCCTGAAGCAGTGATTTTCAAACATTTCATAACAAGGACCTGGCTTCAAACAAAGTCCTCCGTGGGCTCCAATACAAAAAAAATTAAAGCAATATTTTATTTGTATAAAACATATATATCTTAAGTCACAACATATAATATTTATTATTATTATTTTAAAGATTTGAGAGAGAGAGCCAGTGCATGGCCAGAGTGCCCATCCCCAGAGAACCTTGATCAGTCTGCTGATTGTGGAGCCCAATGAGGGGCCCGATCCCATGACCCATGAGATCATGACTTGAGCTGAAATCACGAGTCGGACGCTTAACCAACTGAACCACCCAGGCGCCCTTGTAATATTTATTATTAATTTAAATAGTCGGAAGGATTAGGCCATTTTAAGGAACATGAAAAACTGAGATCAGGGTCCTGGATGATCCTTCACTTTTATCAACCTTAGCCCACCAACCTATTTACTTTGTTTTGGTTGCCCAGTGCTGAGAAGATCGTTAATGGTAGTCCACATCTTCTGATACCCTTCACCCTCCACGACAAGGTTGGGCGGGGCAGCTCCAGACTCAGGTGATCCACAGCATGGCCTCACAGCTATGCCTGGCCATTGCTGGGGTGCAGGCACACGTGCTCAGCAGGCACATGCTACTGGGGCACTTGTCAGGACCACCATGCTTGAACACCCAGGACCTGACCCAAATGTGTAAAATGGCTAGTGTGGAGATACAGTGTTCCCAATCAAAGACCAATTTTGGTGATATTCATTAAAACATGTGAGCATGTATTCTGTTTTATAAAATCTGTTTAAAAATTATGAAACGGGGCGCCTGGGTGGCTCAGTCGTTAAGCGTCTGCCTTCGGCTCAGGTCATGATCCCAGGGTCCTGGGTTTGCTCCCCCCATCGGGCTCCCTGCTCAGCGGAAAGACTGTTTCTCCCTCTCACACTCCCCCTGCTTGTGTTCCCTCTCTCGCTGTGTCACTCTCTGCCAAATAAATAAATAAAATTTTTAAAAAAATTAAAAAAAAATTAAAAATTATGAAACATAAGTAATTAAAATGAAACAAGAGTGTGGCATGTGCTGACTCTCAGAGCCCACAACCTCAGTCCCACATGTGACCCAGCCTTGGGGCAAGACACCACCCAGGTGAAGGCTAAGTACACTCACCACGACAGTCACAGCTTTCCGGTGCCCGACAAAGTCCATGTTGGTCTTCCAGCCCTCCCGTTCAATGATCTGGGCAGTGGGGCCAGAGTTGTTCATGGCGTGGGCAGACACCAGGTAGTGCCCATCAGGTGACCAGCTGAGCCGCAACACATGGGTTGTCCCTCCACACTGAAAGAAACATCTGCACTTGGAAGGAGCTCAAGACCAACTGTGTGACCAAAACTCTGTCCTCAAGAATAAAGTTGAATTCTGATTTATAAATGTATGATGGTGGAGCATGTACACAAGCTCTGGCTATGCTGACAGCTATAACATTCCAGTCTCTCTAGGTGATCTAATAAAAAAGGCTCTGTCAGATGAGGTTGGGAGCTGCAGCATCCTACACTCCCCTATGGGAGCTGAGTGCAACAGAGTGGCATAGGCCTGAGGGGATCTGTAGGATAGCCACCTCTTTTAACTGTCAATTTTGTTTGGGACAAATATGTCCGGCCGCTGACCTCTTTCTTCTGCCTAGCATGTTAACCCTACCACAAGAGGTCTGCAGAGCATTCACTTCAGTGGAGAAAGAGCTCTGGGGACCCTTAGGAGCCTATCTCTGTGATGCAACCAGTGACCATAAGCCACTACACACTTTCTCCAGCCTGACTCAACTGAAGCCTGGTGTGCTACTTGCAAAGGAGAAGAGCATTTTAAAGTCCATATAAACCATAAAACGCATGGCAGAAAGGCACTGTTCCCCTGACCTGGACTAGGGCTGAAGTGAGGCATCCCTCCACATTATTATTCCTGCAAAGTGAGATGATATGGGCCAGAAAGCCTGCCCCCTAAAGCTCAAGGTCAGTCCAGGGCAGCCTTAAAGACTTAGGAATTAAGGCGTGGCCTTGAGTGTAGTGACATACCTGCCTCAAGCCCACTCAGGCCTACCCGAGGCTGAGGAGTCCCACCAGCTCCCACTGGGATTCCAAACACTCCTGCCTATCTCCATAGCTGACCCCAGAAACCCATATTAGTGGGACCCCGCTGCCTGCTTGCTGGAGCCCTGAGGAAGAGCTCCAGAAGGCATGAGGACTCATGTTGTCTGTACCAGGCTGCAGCCAAGGAGGGCAGGACTAAACAGGGTGAATACCAGTGCTAATGCAGTGCTGTTGATTTGGGGAAAACTGAATACATGATTTCCACCTTCCTTCTGCAACCAGCCCCGGGGGCACATGTCTACATCTCCTGCAAAACTTTGCTCACAGCCCTTCATCTGATGCAATCAGCACTCCTGGGCTGCTTCTGCACATTCTGGACAACTCCATCACCATACTCACAACAGATGTGAAAGTCTATCTCTCCCAGCAAGCTCTAAGCTTCAAGGAAAAGACTCCATCTCAGTCCACTTTCATTTCCTTTATCCAGTACTGCCCTTCTCATAGCAGGCACTTAAGAAATATCTAACAAATAATGGAGATCTTGAACTCTGATTCCACATGAAACAAGAACCCAAATAAAAGAAAAGGTAGTAAAATACTACACCAGTCACTGCAGTCTGACATCCAGACATTCTGCACGCTGTACTGCTTACACTACCCAAGAAAGAAGTTGGCTGGCATGTAGAGTGCAAGTCAGTGAGTAAAGCCACAGCACAGTCAGGAAAAATAAGAGAGGGCCTCCTCTACCTGTGCTGCACAATGGTATGGAGGCATCACTAAGGTTCTCTTCAGCTTTTTCCTCACTTCAAAGTTAGACACTTAATACCATCTGAGAAATGAAAGATTTTCATCATCTGACTCTTTGGGCCAGAGTGCCCATCCCCAGAAAACCTTGACAGTCTGCTCAGGCCCCTAGACTCTGCATTCACCCACAAGGTATGGACTCCAGCCAGCTTCTCCTCTGTGCATGGAGGCCAGGGAGGCTGCTGGACCGAGCTCCCCGAGCTGTCTCCTTACCTCATCAAAAGGCTTGGTAATGCTGGTCTCCAACTGCCAGTCCAGCGTTCTCCATACCTTTAGGCTGCGGTCATCAGCTTGAGAGGCAATGTATTTACCAACAGGGTCCCAAGTTAACCCCTTTACCAAGCCAGAATGGCCTCTCAGAGTAGCTAGAATTTCTGTGGAGGAAAAGAGATTGGAAAAGCATTAGCTAGGGGGAAATGATGAGTCTACATAGAAACATGAGCTGCAATCCATGGGCTATGGAATGGCTAGCCAAGAGAAGGGACCTCAGGAGTCCACCTTGGCCAGCTCCCATCCCTGGGCACAAGCATCCTAATCTGATCTCTATCAAGGCAAAAGCAACTTAAAAAAAAAATTTTATTGTTATGTTAATCACCTCTAAATAAAAACAATAAAAAATTTTTTATTGTTATGTTAATCACCTCACCACATCATTAGTTTTTGATGTAGTGTTCCATGATTCATTGTTTGTGCATAACACCCAGTGCTCCATGCAGAATGTGTCCTCTTTAATACCCATCACCAGGCTAACCCATCCTCCCCCGCCCCTCCCCTCTAGAACCCTCAGTTTGTTTTTCAGAGTCCATCGTCTCTCATGGTTCGTCTCCCCCTCCGATTTCCCCCCCTTCATTCTTCCCCTCCTGCTATCCTCTTCTCATTTTTAACATATATTGTATTATTTGTTTCAGAGGTACAGATCTGTGATTCAACAGTCTTCCACAATTCACAGCACTCACCATAGCACACACCCTCCACAATGTCTATCACCCAGAAGACAAAAGCAACTTGAAAGAAGGACTGCACCCAGGAGACAGGCACTGTGATTTCCCGTTAGCCACAGCTAATACCAAGCCTGCACAAGCCCCCTAAAGGGCAGGCAAGCAGGGATCCAGGCTTGGGCCAGAGCCAAATTCTGCCCCTTTGACTTGTCTGTGGTAGGCAGCTCTGCCAGTGGTTTCTCCATCTGAACAGGAGGCCATGCCCAGCTGGGCTGTAACATTAATATTTCTGATCTGAACCTCCCTGGCAGCTCCCTGATAATGAGCAGGACTAACAGCTTCGGGGATGGAGCACTATGCTGAAAGTTCTTTGTAAGTCATCACTGAGGACAAAGGAGTATGAAACAGCATGTCCTAGAGATCTATGATCTAAATGCCACCCCAACTCTAAATCTGGCTGTGACCACAATGAAAATGCCCCCCCGCCCATCCTGGTGGCTTACAGAGAGAGAAAATGACTTGAACCAAGTTCATGGAGGATGCTTTTTTAGCCCATGAACAAAACTTATTCCAGATACCAAATAGGAACAAAAGTATCTTACTGGTTATAAACTGCAGTGATATGCCAGGTTATGCCATCTGTTGTGACTTTAACACATTAGTAAGAAATACTAATCTTTTGCAAAACTGGATTTGTTAGCCTATATCTGCTTAAGAGCTTCAGAGAGGAGATGGCAACTGAGTGGAGGCCAGAGCCCAGCAGTGGGGAGGCATGCCTTCAAGGGCATGTGTGTGTAGGGGGAACGCCAGGTGCCCAAGCACATGCACCACCACCCTATCACCCTCATGATCTGTGGCACATCCACGCTAGTACTCAGTTACTATTTTTCTTTTTAACATAAACCTCTTTTAAAATCTTAAACAAATGTCACTGACGAAGAAAAAAAGAACTGAGTTGCTGACAAGACACATGAATTCCCATTCACTGTGAGACACTTGTTACCACCAGCCTTAGGAGACAGAGAGCCCACCCTGCTCCAGATGATCAGCCCATTTTTGCCGCCACCCAGTCAGAGGCCCAGACCTGGGAACTTCACAGCATTCCAGATGACGACAGTGTTGTCCACGCTGCACGAGGCCAGCCAGGCATCATGGGGAGACCATGCTACATCCATCACATCTGGAAGACAGAGGGCTGGTGGTGAGTGTCTTACCTGGTGTGCAGACTCAGTGAGGGGGGCACTTGGCAACACCCGTCTGCCAGGTGGGCCAGCAGCCCCTAGCATCTCATGTTTGAGGAAACTTGACTTGAAATCATAACTAGACTCTTTCTTAAAAACCAATCTGTAAAACTTCCCCACTAAGGTTTATGAACTGGTCATGACATTTGAGGCATCTAAGTGACCTCCCTCACCCCTCACAAAAGAGGTAACTGAGGGCAGAGCTGAGAGTTTGGGGCCACGTATAAGAACCCTGGCTCTGACACCTGCTGGGTCTGTGGCCTCAGGCTCGCTAAGCTTGCTTCTCTTGATCCCAACTGGGCCTTTCTGAGCGCCCTTTGAGCACTAGAGGCACAGCACCTAGCAGAATGCCTAGCACACACAGCCAGAGTCCAATAGCTGCCCAATGAGTGGGAGGCCATCTTTAGGCCCTTCTCCTCACAAACTGGACCTCATCTCCAAGACCCCACCAGAGTATCCCTTCCTTAGAGAGCCCCCAAACATAATCACTCATGTTCAATTCTTTGTGACTCAGTTTTCTTATCTATAAAATGCAGATTAAAAAAAAAAACCCCTATGCTCAGAGGGTTATTATTATGAGGATTAAATGTGAGAAACTGCTGTAGCACGGTGCCAGGCACACACCAAGGCATCGATAAAGGTCAGCTGTGACTGTGACGGTGACGATGACCGGGCCCATCTCGCCGTGCAGGTGTGATTTTTCTAACCTCTGTGCCTGGTGCAGTGCTAGGTGTACAGAAGAATGGCTGGTGAGGTGAAGAAACAGAAACACAGCAGCAAGTTAATAGCTATCTAGTCCTCTTCTCATAGTATTTTTAAAAAAGGTGTAAGCAAAATACTCAAAACTTTTGTTTTTTTCTATTATTTACAATCTTCAGGGACAGCTTGATGATTTTTTCCCCCCAAGGTATTTCACACTGCATATGAACTAGTGTGCTGCATTTAGTATCCTCATAGCCTATGTGATCCTAAGGGCTCATTTTGTTTTGCTCTGCATTCTGTCTTTGAGAGCATTCACTACCATAAACAGACCTGATTCAACAATGAACTATTAACTGGGTCCCAGGTTTCAAGCTAATGAGCACATGGGTGTATGCCATTCACCACACTCTGGCTTATTTCTTGTGACTGATATCCCAAAGTGGGACTCTGGGCAGAATGCCTGAAGACTTTCCCAAGTCTGGATTCTCTTAACCCTGTAGACAGCTTTCCAGAAACCTCTATGATTTCACACTTTTATAAGCAGAATGTCCATTTCAAAATTCTATTATCTTGGGGATTATGATTCTCTCTTCTAACTTATTAAGTACATTTTTATATTTTAACTTCACTTTACTAATGAAAGTGAAGATTTTTCATATCTGTCTAAAGTTGTCTTCTTCAACTATGTTGCTCCCATCTTCTGTCTGTTGAGAGGCCTTCTGTGCAGCGGGTCTAACGAACACCAATGCAGTGCCTACAAAAATGAGGAATAAAAACCTCCTCTAGGAGCTCAGAGGCCAGGAGGGGCAGAATGTAAACATCAGAATTTCACCGTGGTACCTAAGTCTTAGAGCAGAGAGGTGGTCCGCTGGGAACTCCAGAAGGGAGATGTGATTTTCCGAGCAATTTCCATGGACTACTGATAATACAGGCATTAGCTGCAAATTCTATCAGTTTATCTTCCTATACTGTAGGAGATTTATATAGTAAAGTCTGTTATTATCCTTTGTGAGGTCTTTTATTGCCTTTTAACCTTAAAAAATATTCCCTCTGCTAGAGGTTTGATGAATATTCAATTCTGTTTTCTTCTGCTTTAATTATTTAGAATGTTTCTCTCTTTAATATCTGGAATTTATTTCAGTGCATGCTGTAATGAGGCTCTACACTACTCTCTACAAACCGTGTAATGGTTATTCTATCACAAGTGGGGAATACTTCTTTCTTTCCATAATTGGTAATTGATGTCTGCTTCACAATAATACACCAAGTTCCTAGGTACATGTAAGTCTACTTCAATGTTGTTAGTTTTGCCCCCAAACCCACGACATTTTAATCATTGCAGCTTTGAATGATTTCTTCTGCAACCTTCCTTATTCTTCCAAATGCCCTTTGGAGTCACTGCTGAGTTATGCAGTAAAGCCACTTATGGACTAATTTTCCACTAATTTTCTCCCTAAACCCCAGTTTTGGAGCTCCTTTCTTCAGACTATACCATTCCCGCTCTTTCCCACTGCACATCTACATACATCTGAGACCCTCCTGCATTTGAAGAGTTAAGTTTCTGGTCACTGTCATTCCAGATATTCTCATCATCATTCTTGGTGATTCTGGGAGGATGATCTGTTAAATACCCAAGGCTCTTGGATCCTTAAATTCCGCCTCCTCCTCTAGTAACCTTGGCTTCTGCTACCTCAGGCATTCATTCCCAGTCATGCCCAGAGATCCCCCCAAACAAATCACTGTAATTACTCCCTCGTTTGAATTCCAGCCCTCCCATAATCCTACCATCAACCGGTGCTTCCAGCTTCCTCTCAACTCCAACAGAATTTCCAGGTGCTACGGGCCTTCTGCTGTCTGTCTCCGTTTGGCTTAGAGTCCACCATACCCTCTGCTCTTCTATGTTTTCACGGGTGCCTGACAAAACCCAGCCTGGTTCAATCTAGCTCTGTACTCCCCTGGGTCTTTCTTGAGGACCCTCTAATGAGGCTTCCACCCAACTGCACCAACATGAACAGCACCAGCCAAGGCCATGGGCACCAGCCAAGGCCATGGGAGGCCTCCATGTCATCAAGTCCAATGGTCAATATCCTCAGTCCTCACCTGACCTCAAGACAACACGTGATACACTGCTTGATCGCTTCTCCTTCAAACGCTCTCTCCACTATCTTAACTGGCCTCCTCTCCATCTCAGCCTCTTTCACTAGTTCTCATCACCCTCCGAAACCCAGCCTCCACCCTTGGCCTCCAGTCCCATGTACTTCTCCCCTGTACTCAACTCTCACATATCAAAATGCCTATGCAGCAGGGCCACTTACACCTCTGCTAGGCAATGCAAACTAAACATGCCCCAAAGCCAATTCCTAAACATTTCCCTCAGCAAACATTTCTGTCCCACCTACACACCTGCCATCAGGTGATGGCAACTGCATCCTTGACACCCACCAGACCACAGTCCAAACCGTCCTGATCCTTTTGCTTATTTCACACCCTACATCCCATCCACCAAGAACTCTGCATCTGACCACTGCTCCTCCTGACTTCCACCACTATGACCCAGGTCCACTGTCTCTCACCGAGATTATGTCAGCAGCCTCCTCAGTGGTCTCTCCAGTGCTGCCTGTAGTCTGTGCAGCTGCCACAGGCCTCCTCACTGCTCTACTCAAAATCCTACTGAGCCTTCCCATCTCACTCAGAGAAGAGCCCCTCACAGTGGCCATGTCCTAGCCTCAGGTGGTTCTGTGAACACACCAAGCACACATCCACACTCCAAAGCTACTGTCCCGGCTATTCCTTCAGCCTGGAAAGCTCTTTGGATGTACACAGTTGTCCCCTAACCTCCACCTGGTCTCCTCTTGGATGTCACCTTCTCATTGAGGCCTCCTGGAAAACCCCATCTCATTTTGCTCCTCAGCACTTATCTTCTAGTTTCTGATGTGACTAGTTGTCTGTCTCTCTTATAAGAATGCAAACTCCCTGAGGGTAGAACAGCACCCAAAATATACCAGGTGCTCAATAAATATTTGTTAAATGAATTTGGGAAAAAATAGTGTCTATTTTATTCGGTCTTTCCATTTATGAAGTGGTCATTTTATCTCTCTCAAAAAAGGTTTGTGGTTTAAGTCTTATAGATCTCATACATTTCTTGGTAAGAGTATTCCTGAGTATTTACAGTTTTTCTTCCTGCTGTATTAAGAGTCTCTTTGTATCATTAAATATTCTAATTGGCTATTACTAGTGAAAGATGAATAATTAAAAATTTTCTTATATGAGACCAACTCAATGACTCATTCATTATTAGCCCTAGGTGCTTTTCAATGCTTTTTAAGTTCTAATAGCTGTGTGCTGTAATATTTGCCATTGGTTTGAAAAAGACATTTCATGTTAAGGAAATAGCTTCCTACGGCTATTTAAAAAATATTTTTATTAAAAACTGAGGCTAAATTATCCAATATTCCTTTCAGAACATCTCCTAAGATGACTGTTTTTTTTGTGTGTTTTATTGTTGTTGTTGTTTTGTTTTGTTTTAAAGTAGGCTTCATGCCCATCTTGGGGCTTGAACTCACGACCCTGAGATTAAGAGTCACATGCTCTACCAATTGAGCCAACCAGGCGCCCCGAGTGTCTTTTCTTATTTAACCTCCTAGTATGTTGTTATAGTAATAGATTCTTTTACACAAAATTCTTCCATTATAAATCATATTTAGTCAAAATGAATTACTGTTTTCAAAAGTTACCAAATTCACAAGCATTATGTTTCTGATTTTTTTTCATATTCATCTAAGCTTTTGTTTTACTGTTATTTTTTTAGGTTTTGGAAACCCAGGGTGACAGCTTCCTTTGAAGAATAAATAGGTCTACATTCTGGAATAATTTTTCTTAAAAGCTTGAAACAGTGCATCAACAAATCAAAAAATAACTTAGGATCAGGAAGCATTACTGATGATTCCAATTTTTTCATTGGTTACTACCGTAAGTTTTCCTAACCTTATGGTATCATTTCTGAAAATTTATATTTTCTAGAAAATTTTATTTCTTTTAGCATTATTATTTTTTTTTTTAGTTTAATATATATTATGCTGTACTCTGTGATAATTTTTTCCCTCTAGGTTAAATGTTTTCCTAGACCCTTTACTTCTAATTTCATCTAGGTTTTTTTCTTCCTCCCCTCCCCCACCAATTAAATATGCCAAGTATATGTTTTCCACACTTCACTTTCAAAGACCCAGTGCTTTCTACTTATTTATTTCTGCTTTTTCACTGGTTTTTCTTCTTAAAGAGTTCTGCTCATAACTGCTATCAGGACCATTGAACAAGGAATGGGTGTCCCTGCTGAAAGTGGGCAACCCTACTTGCCTAGTAAAGGAGAGCACTGGGATGGTGGGCCTGGAAAGAAGTTGAGGTTATGGCTGAGCCCATGTCTCAGGTTAGGGAACCCATCAAAGGCCTCACTGAGGCCCCACCACACACTTGAACACCTGCATGGACACTTTTTCCAAGTTCCAGAGGAGCCCAATTAGACTCCGCTGTGAACAACTGTGAATAAGTGAGGTTAAGTTACACATTTTTATGGTTATCAACAATTATACAATGCAACTCTTCCAGCTTTCAAAAATGTGGACTTAATCTATGGTCACCAAGAGGTGGGTCTGTTTACCTTTGAAGTGTCTGTAGAGTACTTGCAGGGCATAAACTGTCAGCGGATTACAGCCAATGCCTTCCAAACCACTCACTCTTGCCCCATCTTCTCCCAGAGCTCCAGGCTCAATTCCAAGTCTTGTGACATTCTTCCCTGCCCGCACTTCCCAGACTCAGCACATCCCACATTGAATTGGTGTCCATCCTGTAAGCCCACTATCGTTATGGTCTAAGAGAGGACACCATTGGCTATGCAGGCACCAGCTAGGAATCTCCTTCATCCCTTCCCGCTTTGTCCAAGAATTTCCCAAGTCGGTCTCCCCCTCCATCCCAATTATCATCCCAGGCCTGGTTCAGGCCCTTGCAGTTTTCATCTGAACCACTAAAACAAGCTCCTTTTCTACCTGTCTGAACGATCTCCCTCTTACACCTCAAAGCTTTTAAAAGCTCCCTGTCTCTTTCACAATAAAGGCCACCTTCATTAACAGGGAACACAAACCTTCCATGACCTGGCCCCTGACACTCAGCCAGCTCCACTCTGTACTGCTCCCTGCCTTGTATGTAAAGATCCAGCTGTGGTGAAATGCTGCTGACCCACCATGTACACCAGGCCTTTCTGGCTTCTGCTGTCCCCCTGTCTGGGAAATGCTTCAGGCCATTCTTGGGCTAGACCACAGGCTTTCTGCGGTATAGTCACTCTAGCATCCCTGGAATCTGAGTGTACAGCACATGGCTTTTGAGTGCTCTTGACTGACCTTCCTCCTCTTCAGTCCAAATCTTTAAAGATGTGCCCCTTTCCAAGTCTATGAAACACTTTTCAAATATACTCAAGGTCAAGTAAAAAACTTTTCATTGGGCCACTTTTCATGTGTGCTGGTTTCTGTGGAATAAATAAAGTGTGCTTACGGACTTAGTGATCCACTGATGAAGGTAGTGATTCAGTTCACCAGGATAAACAGCAGAACATGGGGAGTTCTACATTGAAGATATAAACATATACCCAATGAGGGCAGGAGTGGGGTCACTGAGTGCAGCTGGAGGCAGGCAGTGGGTACAGTGACTACACAGACCTTGAGGGAGAGGCAGGGTGTGACCGATGGTGATGGGGAGGGACGGCCCAGACACAAGGCTGCTTTAAGGACCAAAACAGTCCACAGGGGCCATGGAGGTGCTGCTGCTGACCTCAGACAGCTGCCAGGGCCGCCCACCCCAACAGGCAGCCCCACTCACCGCCTGAGTGACTCCGGAGGATAGAGACACATCGCCACTGCTCCACATTGGCAAGCTTACCACTGGAGCCAAACACGGTGCTGGGGCCGATGTACCTGTGTGAAAGAGGAGTCAGAAAGGCACTCCAAGCATGCTCTAGGCACTGCACAGAGATGCTCACTGCAGCATGGCTTATCATGGCAGACAGAACAAAGCAAAACCAGACAATGGCTGGAAAGCATCAAATTGTTGAACAACAGGGACTGATTAGGTGAGGTATGTTCCATGCACTTAATGAAATACTACATAGCCATCACAAATCTCATGGTAAGAGACAATCCACTGCATGGGGAAATGTTCACCATATATAATTAAGTAAAAGAAGCAGGCCACAGGACATCCTATACAATATGACAGACACCACTATGTAAAGAAAAAAAATACATGTAAATGGATATCATCTATGCATGGAAAATGGATCAGAAAGCAAAATATTAACCATGGCTTTCTTTGGATGGTGATTTTTATATATTTTCAGATTCCCAAATTATCTGCTGTGTTATCTATGTTGACTAAAGCAGCAAAGCCAACAGTCTTTTTAAAGCTCTCTTGCAAAGCACTCAAAGCATGGCTACTAGCTCCTGCCATGCAAGCAGTCGAGTAGGTCCTCATGGACGTGGCGCTGACACCACTGATGCACAGAGCCTCTGTTAACACACTTTGCTCCCACAGAACTCTTTACAAACTCACAGAAGGAGCTCACTGAGTGGGCCAAAGGAGACAGCGTGCCTCTGCTCGCATGGCCATAAGCAAGAACACGGAGGTCCACTCTGGCTAAGCAGTGGGGTAAGGGTCTGGTTCCCTAGTCTGACTAGCCCCCAGAGTCACCTGGGGAGCTGGTCATGGAACAGAGACCCAGGACCCACCCTGAGAGACTCTGCCTAGAATTACAGAAAAAGTTTTCTAGGTGATGGTTAGTTCATTGTGGGTACAGAGCAGGCACTCTCAAGGGGGAGCTCCTTAGAGTCCCAGGGTGGGGCTGGCTGACAGAGAATGAGGTGAATGGCAAAGAGGGTAGGCTCCAGATCCCCTCCCCCCTCCACCCCTGATTCCATCAGAGCACTTTGACTTTTACCTATTCTGTATGTTGGGAAATTTCATTTGAAAAGCAAAACAAACAAAGCTACCAATGTCAGCAATGCAAAGGATTAATACTGCTTTGCAGGTAGAAACCCTGCAGCCCTGTGAGGGGGCGACTGAGCAGGTCTCCAGGCAGATGGGTCGCCTCCCCAAGCCCTAGTCAGGCCCCAGCTGCTCCTGGCCTATGTGTGCTCCCCGCTACTCAGGAAGTTTGGAGCTCTAGGAACTTCAGTGCCAGAGTGGGGAAAGGTGACTGTGATTAAGACCAGCAAAGAAGCTTCTAAAAATAAAATGTGAAAAAAGGAAAATGATGCTTACGTAGCCCGCTTCCACACCATAATCAGTTTGTCATCTCCCCCAGAAGCTAAATACATCCCACTGTTTGACCACCGCACACAGTTCACACATGCTGGGAAGAAAAAAAAATAGGGTGATGAAAATCCAATAGTCACGCCCATTTGCTTTATGCAGAGTCTGGCAAGATGCAAAGGGTTCATAAAACCTATTCTCTCTCAACTATTCAAGGCATCCACTGTGGGTGAGTCCCAGAGAATAATCCAGATTAAATACTATCCTACTTGTGCTGTAATAACAAATGACCAGGACAGAGTTTGGAAGGGAAAAGTCTACATAACCTGAGAAGTGTTAGTGCTGGATGAAACAATCAACAGGAGGTGGATTTCCATGAAAACTGGTAACTAAATCTCATTATTTCAAAAGGGCTATCTCATGATGAGATGTGTTTCTGGGCAGGGAGAATTCTTGAAATGAGGGCATGTACTAAAAAGGCTGAAATGCCCTTCCCAAAACTTTCAGGGGAGCAGCTTGCTAGAGCATAAAACTCTGACTTCATCCCATCTGTAGCCCTTTTAAATTTAGATTTTCCAAACTTGTCAACACTGCAGGTTGACTGGTTCTGCACTTATAAATTAAGACCAGCAGAAATGCCTCCTAGGCCCCCGATGGGTTAGAGCCTCTGGGAGCACTCACAGCTCGGCCTTTGGGAACCCTGCAATAAAAGGGACACTGTCCAAGCTGTAGCCCACACGTGACCTGTGAGTGACTTGTGCTCCAGGTCAGAGGGCAATGAGGCACGCTGGGAGAGAGCAAGAACACACAGAGCTAAGGAAGGGGACATAGCTGTTAACGGAGCATCTCAGGGGAGGTAGCTAGGTTGGAAACCAGAGCCAGATACAGTCACCCTGATGCTCAGAAGCAGGAAACTAAGGTGCTAAATGTAGGAAAGGAAACCACAACACTGTCCGACCATCAAAAGGATCCTGGCAGAGGGCCTCAGAGTGACACAGTGGCAATTCTGAGACATTTTGGTGAGTTGTCTTTAAAACACCCTTCCCCAGAACCCTACTGCTTCCAGGTCGCTGGCCCCAAAGCCCCATGGAATCAGGCAGTAACGACTCATGAGCAGGAAATCACCAGAGGTACCTGCAGACTGTCCAAAGATGGTTCTGTGGGCGGGCCGAGTCTTCTGCCGAATAACTCACCCAGGTGTGCAGCCAACATCTGTGCCTTCAGACAGCAGGCCGAGGGGAGTTACCGCCGCACGGGGCCTTATCTTTCTAATTACAAACACATGTGCTAACCTTGGGCACTCTGCCAACACGCAAAGCCTGCAAAGGGCCACTCTGTAATACCTAAGTGATTGTCCATCTGGCAAAGCATCTTGGGAATATTTTCATCCTTCTCGTCATCCTCCTGGAGGACTGGAGACATATTCCAGATCACAACCTTCCCAGAATCCTGTCCTGGAATGAAGGAGCAGAAATAATTCAATGTGCAAGAAGTAGAAATTTGGTATTAACTATGAGACATAATCCTCACTTAGCTTTCATAAACCATAATGGACTAGATTGGAGGAGACTAAATTTGCATTACTAATTTAACTTATAGAATAGAAACGAAGAAAGATAAGCACTGATGGGGATCAAAAAGCATGTGGATTTAGGAGTACGGAGAAGCCAACCTGACTTTGAAAAGAACTCTGGATCGAGCTCTAGTCTGTCCTCTAACACAGATCCCTCAGGAGCCCCTAGAAGGTCCTCATCTCTGCCCAGGACCCAGACTCCTCATCTGTAAGTTGAAGAGCTGGAAAAGCTGATGTCCCAGGGCCCTTTCAGGTTTGTGCACGGGAACCCTAGCAACCAAGGGCAACAGCACATCCCCGCCAGTACTTTGATCCCTTTCCAGGTGCTGCCTAGAGTCCAGGGTTGCTCCCAGAGCTGACTGGATGCTTTGAGACCCAAGTCTAAATGAAATGTGCACTAAAGATAGGAAAAAAGGCTCATTCCCTTCTTATCTACCCTTTGCCATCACCTACAGATGGGAGATCAATCAAAAGAGGGCATTTAGGGATCCTGGGGTCATAAGGTTATGTAATACTCTGCTAAAAAAATTATCTATGCATTTTGGCAATGATTTTTCTTCCTTTTCTTTTTTTTTGCAATGATTTTTCATTCTAAGCTTTCCATTTACTGATAACTAACGAAAGTCTGGCCCCTCATTTAACTATTATAGAGGAGCAAAAACCAATAAATGCCTACAAATGGACGTATCAGAATTACCATAAGGCATACCTGAAATTGCCTATTGGCCAGTATATAAAAATATTTCCTAAACAGCTCTTCTTGACCTTATTATATACTGAGAAGGGTGGGAAGGTATGCCTCTTCTTATGGATGAGGAAAAAACCCTGTCCCCCAGCTTAGTCCAGTGGTCGTAGATGACATCAGTGGGTACCTTCTGGATGCAGTCCATGATGTGCCAGAAGGAGATCATGGGCTCCCTGCATACCCCTGCAGCAGGAAGCCCATGGACAACCCACCCTGCAGCACCTGGCCTGAGGTCCTGGAACTCACAGAGGCACTCTGCAGGTGCTGTCCAGGGAGGCCTTGGCCAGAGGAAGACGCTGCTCTAGAGTGAAGCTGTCGGGGGCTGAGATTTGTGGGAATGCTACCTTGTGCCACCATATATATACATCTTGGTGTCCTCGTCTGAAAAATGACTGTCTTTCCAAGTAGGGCTGTTATTGGGACACTGTAACACTGGATGAAGCACAGTAATAACACTATGGACCGTATTTTCAAATGGCATGGGCATTTTTACTTGCCCACAGCATACTTCTTCTTTATCTTAGCTGAATTCCTCTGAGCCCAGAAAATGGGCCTAATAACTATACGACTAACTCCGTAGTTTAGTTTAACCACCTCTTCCCCTTTTTCAGATGAGAAAGTACTGCCAGAACGAAGATGAAGACCCAACCTCAACCTCTGGGGCTGGGGATCTATCCAAAGGACCACCTGCCACTCTCCATGTTCAATAAGCTGGGACTTGGTGATGAAAACTGATTTTAATATTAACCCAATGAATAGAAATTAGAAAGATACACCCACTACCAAAATGTTTATATGGAGCAAACACACTAGAACCAAAAAAGGATTTTGATTTAACCTGTTCAGATAACAGATTATAATTGTACATTTTAAATGGAGTCATATCCATACTGAAAAACAAATATATTCTATCTTCAGCTCAGTGGGCAACCAGGAGAAGCAGAGCAAGGTGTCAGGACTGTGAGTGCGCCCTCTGTTACTCTGTGAACATACCTTGTCCTCCAGTTGCAAACTTGGTCCCGTCAGGGTGAATATCAACTGAAAAAATTGGCTTGCCTGGAAACAAAGGAAAAAAAAAACACACAACATCTATCTTGGCTTATATTCACTGGAGGATAGCAACAAAGCCAAAAAATTTGAAATAGTGATTAATTGAGTACTATCTCTAATCACTGCTCCTAGGAAAATATAATAGGCTGCTGATAAATTACCTCTAAGAGTGGAATAATTTAACAGTTTTAAAGTATAAACTGCTGAAAGATTCTCCAAGTGACATTAAATAGCTGAGTCTCAAAGGAGGACAAAGCATTCTGTCACTAGAACAACTGAGTCCATAGGTCGCTTGAGCATTTGCAGAGAGGTCCAATGGATAGGAGCTGGCCACTTTCTGGGGACACACATTTGTAAAGGTTATGAGTTGTTAACAACAACAGCTCTGGGTCACAGTGGCTACATCTTCAGCCACCTCTCCATCCCATGGACCTGCACTTGGCTGGCAGCCTGGACACAAGCATCCTGGCCTTTCTGCCTTGCTGTCTGACAGCTGGGTAGGACCAGTAGCTGACTTCGACCACAGGTATCACTTCCCTCATGCTTCTGTTTCTAAAAGCCCTCCTGTGTATTTGTACTGCATCAAAGTTTGTGAAGTCAGCCTTCTCGGCATTTCATATGGCTGAACTTCCTCCACAGGATGTGCTCTGTTCAACTGGATGTTCAGTCCCTATAGGGGGAAGAACTGTAGCTACTAGCTCCTGGAGTCCCCACAGGATGCAGACCCACACCAAGACCCCATGAAGCTGTATGGCTAGCTTGGTGGACCAGACTGGCAAAGGAGTCATGACAACTTGAAACCCAGAAGACTGGAAGTATTCCTGGGCCCTGGGCCCTGTGGCTAACCAGTCTGCTTCCACGCTAAGAGTGGCATGTCAATTGTTGTCAAGTTTATCACCACATCCTCAGCTTCTAGCACAGGCCTGCTGAGTGGTGGCTCAGTAACATTTATTCAGTGACAAATTAGATGCATGACGATACACTGAACATCAGCAATCGCTAATATAGACAAGGTCCTGTTGCCAAGGAGTCTCTTGGATGAGGATGCTCTGTCTCCGTTACCCAAGAGGAGTTGGCATGGACACCAGAAGGAGGGTTACCAGCTCTAGAATCACAGGATGGCAAGTACAGACAGGATAGGGTGGGGCAGGGGCAGGCCGTGGCGCCTAACAGCTGAAAGTCCTGCCAGGGTTACTGTCCAAGTATGGAAAATCAAATATTGGTACCCAAAAAAGGCAATGGCCAGCATGGGCCCCAAGGAATAGACAGCTCACTTTATCTTATTCCACAGAGCCATACCCCTAAGAGGCAAACTGAGCCTGAGCTTCCACAAGACAACAGGAAATGTGCTCTCCTTCTTGTCATTACACAGTAGGGGGAAACAGCTATGTAAGGCCACCAGCAAGCAGGTGTGCCAAATGCAAGGGCCCTAATTTTGTCTCAGAGAACAAGCAGAAACCCTAGGGAGGTTGGAAATCACATCTCATATTATTTCATCTCTACTACTTACTGAAATCCAAAACAACGAAGGCTGCTACTGCAGGACCCTGTCATGCTGGCAGCTCTAGCCAGGTCCTTGAGACCCTCAGTTACCTCCAGGTCCACATCTAAGAGCCAGAGATCTACAGTGACAGGTCAAGTTCAGCCAAGTCGCTACTGATTGCCTTCCTGGAGCACAAACATACAGGAAATTCAGCCCTGGTCTGCTCTGAGTTTTCACTCCAAGGATTCCCAGGACAAGCCCCAACACAGCTTGGCACTCTATGTAGCTTTGAAGGAGCTGGAGCCAGAACCAGCAGTGGAGCGCACTTACAAGGACCCAAGGAGAGAGAGCTATTGCTATTCTTCTTCCATAGTCCAGATGGGCAGACACTAATTAGCCCCATCTTCATCCTCAAGAGAAGAATCCAGAAAACTATGTACAGTAGGTAAAAGGCAGGTACTGAGAACGCGGGTAAGAAGGACTGGAAGTTTTCAAACTGGTGCTCCTGAGCCTCTGCACTCAGACCTACACCGGCATGTCACGCCCTTCCTAGGTCAGGTGGTTGCCATGTGTATTAAGCCAGAGAGCCTGACATGCTGTTGCCGAGAATGTGCCATACTTTCCCAGAGGCTGAGGACCTGGGAGGGAAGCAGTAGCAAGAAGGTGGGTTTCTTGACCATCTGGGCCATGACAAGTGTCTGACAGGGAAGCCTCAAGAAAAAAGAAAGGACAATTAGGGCTCTGGGCCCAGGCTTGAGCTGTGCAGACCATGGCATCTAGTGCTGAGACTGAGGTTCAGTGTCCTGCCAGACACCAGAGGAAGGCAACCAATTAGCACCACTAAGAGCCTCATGAGATTCAGAAGAGCAGACGTCTCCAAGTATGGTGAGGACAGAGACAGGGAGTCTCAACCGCATCAGTGCCTGCCATCTCCACTCAGGACCTTCCTGGGAGGTCCTTGTAGGTGCTAGCCTGCTATTCCTTTCAGGAGAGGCAGAGCCACAGTGGGCTAAGCCCTGTGGAACTCTTCTTCCCAGCCCATGACATGTTCTACTGAGCATCTGATGTGCCCCCTCAAGCCGTGCAGGCAGCACAGCCCAGGGTATTCTCTAAATCTCACACTGCCCCGTGAAGTGGATAGTTCTGACATCCTCATCTGACAGAGCTACACAGCTGCTACAGGCAGGCTACACAGGCAGCTACACAGCTGCCTCCCCCAGAGCCTGAGCTTTAAGTATGTAATGTGCTGCCCCTCCAGGTGAAGCTGGGAGGGGACATGCCTGGAGATGGCTGGGAGGGCTCAGATGATACTGCCTGGAGGGAACTAATTCAAAGCCCACAGGTGAAAGGTGAAGTACGGAGTCAGAGGGAGAGCTAGAGCTATGCACACATGCACAACTAGTCCTAATGACCTGGACTTGGCCTTGGACTTGCTATACTGAGCATCGATCACCCTGGACACCTCAGTCCCACAGGCCTGGG